TCTTTAGATTATACTGCATTAACATTTTCATTTTTAGAACCACTTATGGATAAGAGTGTTCCAGCCAGTATGTGTAGAGGGCCTTCTTGGTGGCTGCACCTAGGAACTGGAATTCTTTGCCAAGGAAGGCCCGTCTCCAATGACTTCACACCAGCAGGCAAAGACATTATCTAGACAGGCTGTAAAAATGGCTTGTAAATATGATGTAATTGGTTTTAGGTGGCCTTTTCCTTTTGTTGATTCTATGTTTTACCTGTCCTTTTATTCTTTTCTTGTGTGTTTTATTTTACACACACACATGCGCACACCATTTGATGGAAAGGTGAGGTGCCAATTTAACAATTTGAAAATGTGTGTGGCGGTGCTGTTGTTTGCAATGCACCATGTCCTTTATGTTGTGAATGTTTGTTTGGTATTACCCAACTGTGGATTTGAGAGGAAAGGGAGTTATTGTGCTTTAACAGAGCTGCCTTTGTTTTTCTGATCTTGTAAAGGCAACCTTGAACTTGCCACCACTCAGGAAAGCATACCATATGAGCTATGACTGCCAGGAGCCCCCTCAGACTCTGGAGCCAGCATTTTAATACAGCGGTACCTCAGGTTAAGTACTTAATTCATTCCGGAGGTCCGTTCTTAACCTGAAACTGTTCTTAATCTGAAGTACCACTTTAGCTAATGGGGCCTCCTGCTGCTGCTGCCGCGCCGCCGGAGCACGATTTCTGTTCTCATCCTGAAGCAAAGTTCTTAACCTGAAGCACTATTTCTGGGTTAGCGGAGTCTGTAACCTGAAGCGTATGTAACCTGAAGTGTATGTAACCTGAGGTGCCACTGTACAGGCAAGGCAGTGCCAGGATGGTGCAGGAGATTCAAGGCAGTATGTAGAGTTTCTGTTCCGGCAGCATTTCTCTCCTTAATGGAATGTACCATCTGTGCTCAGGTTTGAATTCCCAGCAAGGATCCATTAGAACTCTGCTTATGTACCTGCTCAGTTCTGTGTGGATCACCAAGTGCCCCAATACCACCTCCCCATTTCCTTGAAATATGTGTCCCATTATATTTCATTTCTACAAATTTGCTGAAACAGGAGACAGAGCCAGGTGTTTATGCTAAGCTATACAAGAGCTCAGAGTTCTACATCAGATCCCTGCAGCCTCACCATTTAGTGTTTCATTCTACCCATTTGGCTACCTGTCTCTAGCCATTTATCCTCTTTACAACGATAATGCAGTGATTAATAAGTATTTGTTCAACACTTTGAAAGTGTGACTTGCTCCGATGTTTGACTTAGGGCTTCTCCAGATGATCTGCTTCTTCATCCTGTTTTACTTCCACAAAGCTTACGCACTGGTTAGACTATGGTTGTTACTGAGCATTTGTTATGATTTGTTTACGAGGTGGTTATATGACAACCGGCACTCGTCCTGATTTGCTTGCAGGGTGTTCACACATCTTCCAGTTAATCATTTGTTCACCTTACACTTTCCCAATGGGGCATGTTTTTAAGAAGCAGATTTGTTGCGCCAGAGTGACTGAGCTTTAATCCACTTCAATTCTGCAAAGCTAAATTTCTAGTGCAGTCGTACCTTGGATCTCGAATGCCTTGCCTCCCGAACAAATTGGCTCCCAAATGATTGAAACCCAGAAGTGAGTCTTCCAGTTTTTTAACGTTCTTTAGGAAGCCAAATGTCTGACGTGGTTTCAGCTGCTTCCGATTGGCTGCAGGAGCTTCCTGCAGCCAATCAGAAGCTGCGCTTTGGTTTTCGAATGTTTAGGAAGTCGGACAGACTTCCAGAACGGATTCTGTTCGACTTCCAAGGAACGACTGTATACGCTTGAATCAGAACTGGCTTACATGGTGAGCTGGGCTACTACACCAGCTTCCCAGCAGGTGGGTCACTGTTGCTTGCCTAGAAGGGAATAGTGATGTGGTAGGGAGTTTGTTGTGGTGCAAAAATACTGCATGGAGCACGGGACTTGTTCTGCTGCTGTAGCATGCTAACTTCCCTGCTGCCTCTTCCCTTCTCTCTACTTCCCAGCAACAGTGACTCATTTTCCAGGAAGTGAGCAGCTCCACCCCATCTCACGCAGGGAGCTGCTTCTGCATAGACCCAGTAGCAGATACAACATCAGTAGACAAAAGAGTTTAAACTTGCAACCCACTATACAGACATCCCTGGGAGTAGGCCTCAATGAAAACCATGGAACTTTCTTCTGAGTAGAGACATATAGGGTTGCACTCTTCTAGACTTTCTGAGAAAGGGAACAGATGAATCTCGCTGGAAGCCAGGCACGTCTCAGGTGACCCTCTACATGGCTGGAAAAGAGCAAAGTGTTTTGCAAGTTTTGAACAAGGCCAGTTCACCCAGCTAACTTCCAAAAATGAAGAACAAGGCAGAGAGAAAATATATTTAATCAAACAGTGTGGGTGGTGTGATCTTCAGCCAGAGCTCAGTGGTGAAGTAAGTTCTTTGCATACAAACGCTCCAAGTTTCAGCATCAAGGTCTGGGAAAGAAAATCTGGACAGCTGCTGCCAATCATTGTAGTTAATACTGAGCTAACTGGGCCAATGGTCTTTTGCCAGCTTCCTATGTTCCTGTCCTTTTTTCATTTGCCAGGAAATATAATATGAAAAGGAGTTTTCTCCCACAGCTTGACAAACAATATGCACTAATATTTGTACACTACATTTAACTTTCTCATTGTTATTCCTACATCGGAAGAAAATAAAGCCTTTGTGCCTCTTACGTCTTGTGAAACTATGCATTCTGTACCAAGCATTTCACATGACTTCGGGTCATCACAATATTTATTCATCAACGTGCCCCAAAAAACACATAAGCAGGACTGCCTGTGGCATTCTCTATTCCTGCAAAAGTTAAATAGGATCTTCATTTGCTTGGCACTGTTTTCAAATGCTCATTTTTAAGATAGAATAATTAGCAAAATGGATGAGACAACAACATGATTGTTCAACAGTTCCTAAGCAGAAGTAAAGGCAGAGTGCCATGCGGCTGCAGGTAGCTGAAGCTGTACCCTGTGGGGAAATGGGGAGAGATTGGGTAGTTTCACTGAAACTAGTTAGCTGGCTTGGTTAGTTTCCACTTGTCCCATTGGCCATGCTGGCTGTGGCTGATGGGAATTGGAGTCAAACAACATCTGGAAAGCCACATGCTCCCCACTCTGAAAAAGAGCAACTGACCTTTCTGCATCTATTTATGGTGCTTAGGAAGCAGTTCACATGCTCTGACTGATGTCTGCATTCATTATACATGCCTTGCATTTGCCGGAGATAATAACATGTGAGTTGCTTCAGGTGCTCCGCATCAGAGAACTCTTGCATATGTATTCTCTGGGAAAAAGGCACCGGCTTGGAAGTAACCTGAAGGGTTGGAGCTGCATGCTATGAGTGTGGAAGCGGCCCACTCAAGCTGCCACAGTATTCCCAGGGCACAACTTTAGTTACGGCACAAAACTCCTCGGAGCTAAAATTAGCTTGGTTGGACCTCTCTCCATTTGCTTCTTATTGCACAGAGGTGCCTTTCACAAAGAGCCTCTTTGGGCATATTGGAAGATGTTTTCAAGCTGCATCACTCTTTCCTTCCTCTCCCCTCACCCCACCAATTGAACGCCACCTGCAGACACATTTATAGGAAACAGGACCGCTAAGCGCAGCTCTGTGTCATCTAGGAGTGAGTATGTGATTGCTGCACATACTTTTAAATTAGTTTAAATGTTTTCCATATGTTCTTATTTTTAATGGTGTTGTTGAACTTTTGTGTTTGCTGAATTTGTGCTTGAAGTGCATGCAGGCACAATTGTCCCACCTCATAGTTATTAAAGGGAACTGATTACTTGTCGTATAATCAGAAAGTAGATCAGCACCTACTGACTGATCTCTGGGTGATTTGCAGTTGTTCGGCAATGTTCCTGCCTTCTGACTCTAACATTATCAGCAGCAAAATAACTTTCCATACCTATACTAGGCTGCTGAAATGTAGAGAGGAAACAAGGAGAGGACTCTTAGGGGAAATCTTTGTGAGACCAGCCCAGTTCTTGCACTGAAAACAAATTCCTAGGCTCACAATGTCCTCAGAGGCACCCTGCTCTTTCATTCTAACAACATGTCTTTTGCACTTGGCTTCCGCTGGTAGATCTTGGAGTTCAAACAAAACTGAGAAACCACAATCTGAGAAGCCTCAAGTTACACACACACACACACACACACACACACACACACACACACACCCTACAGGGCATGGTATCCATAGGCTCAGGCATCTCCCATGTTTAAGCACAGGAAGCAATTGATTAGCTGCTTCCATGCTCAGCCCCCATGACTGATATTTCAGGGCACCTCCAGGGCCAAACCCTGGCTGCGATCTGACGTTTCATGACATGCAGGTCTGCCCTGGTCACATATTGGCCCGCCACATACTTACCTTCATTTCAGGCACATTTTTTCCTGCATGTTTGGTAAACGTTAGGGCTGGTGGTGAGCATCTCAAGATTGTATTTACATTTAAGATAAATTACTATTCACTCTTTAGAGGGGGAAAATGAGGTTTTAACATTTCATGGCTACGGTCTAAGTTTGGTACCTGCCATACATTGTTTCTTCTTTTTCATTTTTTTGAAGTCCGATATGGGTTTAAATGTTCAGGAGAGCTAGATTTTTGCGTTATGCATTTAATAGGTTTTTGGACCATGTTAAACGTTCTATAACATGTGTATTACTTACGTTCTATTTTTATGAATCGTGTTACTAATGCTGTTCATTGTTTCTGTCCATAGCTCCTGAAGGAGTTAACTTCAAAACATGTAGAAGTACCTTTTTTTCTTTTTCATTTTCGCTTCATTGAGCACCAGAGCTTGCCCCCTCTTTTCTGTCTTGATCCTTTTTCTGAGCCAAGCTAACTTGGGGCAATGGAGACCAGATGAAGCAAAAGCTAGGTCAAGGAACTAACCCCATAGAAGCAAGCAGTGAGCAAGGGAGGAATATGCCATAGCTCAATGGTAGAGCATCTGCCTTGCATGCAGAAGGTCTCAGGTTCAATCCCCAGCATCTCCAGGTATGCCTGGGTTGATCCTCCAATTCAAACTGTGGAGAGCTGCCACCAGTCTGTGCAGACAATACAGTGCAAGATGGACCCCTGGTCTAAGAGTCCAGCTGGATCAGGCCAAAGGCCCATCTATAGCACTCTTTTATCACAGGGCCCCACTTGCGATTCCCAGCAATGGATATTCAGAGGGATACTGTCACCAACAGCATAACAGAACAATCATAGCTTAGCAGCCATTGACTCAGTAATAAGGCAGCTTCCTATGTAGCAAACATTGTGACTCATGTAGCATTTGTTCCTTGAATTCCATCCCCCTGCACCCTCCATTTTTCATGGCTTACCCACATTTAAAGAAACGGCTCCAATGATGCACCACATCTAGCTTGGCCCGAAAAGTGGGTGAGGAAAACACGCCAGCAATGATCCTTTGTTTTGATAACTTTAATGATTCCAGGGGGTTTGGGGGTTGTTGTTTTTTAAAAAGGCAAAGCATATATGCTGAAGAAGTGTGCATTGCCATTCATAGCTGTGCATTTACAGGAGAGTCAAGTCATATACCTGAGCAAACAGAATGGAACTCTTAACAAACACACATGCAAACTTCATTTGGTGGTATACACAGCAGCATACGGATGTCTAGCTTGCATTCTATTTGAACGTATTTAATTGCACAGAGTGCAATGATGGGCACAGATCCCAGGCAGGATGCGTGACATAAAAGCACAAACCACAAGAACAGAAACAAAACAAAAAACACACATTACCATTGAGCAGGATGGGCAGCATTTCTACTGTCCTTTTTTAGCATCTAGCAATAAAGCAGGAAGAGTTTCAAACATGATGTGTTAACGGTGCCAGAAGCTCAATCTGCAATCCATTTAAAATGAATACTAGGATCCGAGTCAATTTAACACCACTGAGAATAAACAGGATTACCTTCAATCACTCAGGTATGGATCAGGCTATAAGATACCTGAAAGATCAAGCATTTGCCGTTCCCTCACATAAAGGCATGCATGCACCCAAAATACCCAGACTTGACTTGAGAATAAACAGGGATCCACACCAGTACACTTGCTTGACTTCTTAGTTCCTCACCCATTACTAATCTTCCCATTAGCAGGCTCAGATTTTTAACTAAAATGTTTGAAAGACTATGAATTGGTACCGCAGTACCCCAGTGCATCCTGTTAAATTTTTGGCAACACTGGTCTGAAAAGGCAGAGGGAGGGGGTACAAGACAGAACTGCAAAATAGCTAAGTGCTAAGATCATTGAGAGGGGCAGTTTTTGGTCTCTGCTAAAATAAATTAGCAGAAGAAATAAGCATAGTGCTATTGGTAAGCGGATGAATAGTACAAAATCATTGTAAAGGAACAAAGAAAACTATGTCCGCTTCTGTCGGAACCAATTGCAGAAAAGTTTGGACAACTTTAATGAAAAGCTCTCCCCCTTGACCTTCTCCTTCCCAAAAAGGACTGCAAAAACAGTTCACAGCATAAGTGCAAACTCCCTGAGGTCCTGGGTGCCCAAGCACCCACAAAATTCCCCATGAAAGGGCCGGGCACCCACAAATTTCAGTGCCAGGGCCATGCACACTGCATGTCACCCACAGCCCCAGGCATCCACGGTTGCAGGGCCAAGCTGGCACATATACTTCACAGAATGCCATGCAGGTGCTCAATCCATCAGTAGCAGATTGCACAATACCAAGCTGGGTACCACTTTCATTATACAAACTTCAAGTGTGGTTTGCCTTCCAGAATTTCATTGCAAGTGGCTAAAAGATAGATCTTTCGCTGACCTTGTTTTTAACTTCAACAGGGGAACACAACTTTCACGTAAATCAAAGGGGGGGGGAGAAACCATAGTACACTACGACTTTTAGGAAACCCACTTCTTTCATAAAGAAAGATGCAGCAAGTTTCAACTTCAGCAACCAGTTGCAGCTTTGCTACTAGAGGGTAGTTTGATCCTGTGGCCTAAAAGGACTGTGCAATGTTCCAAGCAGTCAAATGTTTATTGTCATCTGCCTCCAACTAACAATGTCTTGTCTCCTCGCTTTTTAAAATATGCATTGACAATGGCAAACCCTTTTCTTCTGCGTTACTGCTGGCTGTGCTTCTGAATTCACTGTACACAACCAAACACCGGCTTAGTCTTTTATAGTTCTTTGGAGTTGACGTTATACTTGATGACAAATGGCCTTGAAAATGTAGGGAACGTTCTCAAATTGCACCCAGTTCATAAGCTTTCTATGAATCAGCAGCACATCTAAGCACACCCAACAATACATCAGCATCAAACTATTTCCCCTTGCGCTCACTCACATTCTTTGTCCAGCTTCACTGCTTTCTTAGGGTCAAACAAGAAATGCAATAGAGATGTGTGAATGCACTTCTCTCTCTTTAAAATCAGTGCAAATGCAAATTGGGTGAGGATTGGATCAGATCCACAAGGGGAAAGGGCTTAACCCTTTCTGCCTACATTGTTTTCCTACTCATGACCCCCTGCCCCACCATCTGCTACTTGCACTTTTGCTTTTCCTATCAGGGCAAATGCTAGCTGGGAGGAGCAATTTCCATCAGGAAGATTGGACAGGGGAAAGATTAAATGGCTTTTCTCCCCCTCTGCCCCTGGTCCCAATCCATATCACCACCATACCTGTTAGCTGCAAAAAGAGAGAGAGCGACGGGTATGTGTATGTGTATGCCCACTGCCACATCTAGTTTGACCCCCTAGACACTTGTAGGCTGTGAAAACGGGGGTCCATTGCAATGCTCCTCTTTGGCTTCTAGCTTTTTCTTGGCTTTCAGTGCAGGTGATACCTCTGGGTGGATGGAATCCAGCCGCTGTTCGCACCGGAAAGCAGTCAGGAAAGCCGTTCTGTAGTTGCTGTTCATCCAGCCATAGAAGAGCGGGTTGGCAAAAGTGGAGCACATAGCAATGACATGAAAGAGCGTGTAGATCAGTTTGTATTCCTGCAAATCCAGCACATTGCTGTCAATATCGCTGACGAGTTGAAAGATGTGGAAGGGCAGCCAGCAGACCCCAAACACCACCACAACACACACCAGCATCTTGGTAGTTTTCCGACGCCTCTGGTGATAATGGTCCCCTGCCGCCCCGGGACTGATGTGGTTCTTTAGCTTACTCCAGATACGGATATAGGCATAGGAGATGATGGCCAGAGGCAAGACATATTGGATCAGGAACATCAAGACGCTGTAGATGGTGCTGTAATTGACCAGCCCTTCCCTGGGCCAGGCCTCAGCGCAGACCACGATCTTGAAGTCCTGGTTGAGCTCAATGGAGAAATACTCCCGGAAGATAGCCAGAGGACTGGCCAAGATGGCACTGACAGCCCAGGCCACCCCAATGATCAAGAAGCTGATCCTCTTGGAGATTTTGCTCTCCAGGTGATACACAATGCAGCGGTGCCGGTCCAAGGCTATCACAGTCAACGTCACTATGGATACCTGAACGGCAAGGCCTTGGGCGTACGGCACGAGGTGGCACAGCACAGGACCCAGCTTCCATTCTCCCAGCAATGTGTAAACTAACGTGAACGGCAGGCAGAGCGTGTTCACCAGCAGATCAGCCACGGCCAAGTTGGCAATGAAGAAGTTGGTCACCGTGCGCATGCTCTTGAACTTGATCACCACATGAATCACCAAGGAGTTGCCCACTAACCCGAGCAAAATGATGACGCAGTAGGCACAGATGAGGACGATCTGCACCTCCACCAAATTGGTGCTATCCTTCAGATCTCGCTTGGGGTCAGCAAGGAGGTCATCGTAGGGATGCTCGAAGCCTGGTGGCAAGTTCAGCCTGGAGTAGAGGTCCGTTTTAGTTAGTCTTGTCCGGTTCTCCATAATTTTGGATCCTCCCATCAGCCCCATGTTCTCTGTAGGTGTGACAAATTTCAACACACAAGCCGTATTCTTCCCCTACAAAGAATACCAAGATGATGGACATGTTAAAAAAGGGCAAAGTCAGGAGGTTTACCCCAAGGTAGGGTGTTGGTTAAATGAATTGAACTAGGAGGTCCCTGCTTCAAATTGCACCTCAGCCCTGAATTCTTAGGGGCCCTAGGCAAGCAAATATATTTCAGACTCAGTTGCTTCATCTTTAATATAGACATAATATACACATTCTTATCACACACAGCTTTCAGATACTATGACCTGTTGATCTGCAGAGAAGCAGGGGAGTGTTCCCATCACAATGTTATGTTATGAGGAGAGGTTCCTCTCTCACAAGCTGAGTGCTGTGGTGGTGAGAGAAACTGTTCTCTGCTGCATTTTTCTTCCCATCACAGCACTGTACTGGGAGCTGAGATTCCTCTTCTCCTAGGCTGGTCTTTTAAGCAACAGCCAGACACCACAAACAACAGAAAGCCAGCCAGCCCTTTCAACGGGCAATGATAAGCCACTTTTCTAGGATGCAAAGTAAGATGTAAACAAACCATTTGCTGCTCCCCCAAATCGTGTGTCAGCTTTGGCAGAAGCTGTCCTGTACATGTGATGATAATGTTAGGCCAGGCAGAAATATCCACAATAACTGGGAAGATGTTGTACAGTTCTAATTGGCAAACATTGGCTGGTACTGTATGTCAGCTCTCAGATCCTATCAAATGTTGAGTGCTACATGTCAGACATTATCAATGTGTCCTGACCTTCTACTGAAAATTAAATGTCAAATCCTATTTCAGAATGTAGAATATTTGCATAGTCAAAGAAATTTCAGGGAATATTCCCCAATGACATGAATACAGAAAAACTTTGAGGATGGGGGTGGAATCATTTCAGCTTCAGCAGAAAGCATGTAGCAATGCTTTTAAATACCTCTAGACTGCTTCTCTGCCCCTCACAGCCAAGGATTTTGAACTGCATAAGGCAAAATTCATTGGAGAGGAACTCTAATGGATCGTTCATGAAAACATACAAATAAAATTATAGGTCTCAGCTACACAACTCACTGAAAATGAATTTCATGAACCAGATACATACAGAACAGGGCAATGGCACACACCTGACCTGCTGCCCCTATTGCTGCCGTTTACTTGGAAGTAGAGGGAAGGTGGCAGCAGTGACGTCAGCGCGGTACGAACACATCAGTGGTGTCAATCCAGTGTTCTTGCCAGTACATTTCCACTGTGCCAACCTCTTTCCTCCACTTTCTGATAAGCAGCAGTGGCAGGAGGTCAGCTGACTGGCTCATCAACTGATGCAGAAAGCTAAAGTCAGTCACCTCATGTGATTTTCCCACAAGCAGAGCCAGTGTTTTGTGGTGGTTAAAGTGCCAGACTAGAACCAGAAAGACCAGGATTCTAGTCCCCACATGACAATGAAGCTGGCCGAGTGGCCTTGGGGCAGCCACCGTCTCTCAGCTTAGCCTACTTCACAGGGTTCTTGTGAGGATAAAATTAAGGAAGGTGGAGAGAGAACCACATTTGTCGTCTTGAGCTCCTTGGAGGAAAGGTGGGCTCTAATTGAAATAAATAAACACATATGTACACACATAGTACTCTTCATACCCAGGAAATATACATAGGAAGCACTTCCCAGCTGCTACTGCTAGAATTTAGTTCATTTTTGTGACTCTCAGCATGCTGCTCATGATACTGATGATTTGAAAGTATCAGGAGAATTTTAGAAGCTACATGTCATGGACACCACACATTTTCTTTTAAACTCTAGAAAAGAGTGACAGAGTGACAGAAAAAACAGGCACATCTACAACCATCTAAACAGAACTGAAACATGAAGTTCCCCCCTGTCCCTTTAAAAGGTCAGTGTAGCAAAGCAGCTAGCTTTCAGGAGTACAAGCTGTACCCTGCAATAAACAACAAGGGAACAGAAAGCATGTTTAATACCGAGGAGTTTTTCTATACAACGTTGACTTTGAAATTAAATTTTTAAAAACACATTAAAAATAACCTGAGGTAATGTTTCTTTGGCAGTGGACTGCACTTGGAGTGGTATTTCGAGGAGAAGAAAACATTCCCCTTTTCTCTGCTGCAGAACCTTTCAAAGTACGATCAAAGAAAGGGGGGGAAACTTCTGCCTTTAGTTTATATATAAGCAGAGCAGTAAAGAGTGAACGAGTATTGCTAACCAATGCTAAAGTTGTCAAAACTCTTCAGTTTATTATCAGCTTGAGAGAATAAGCTCAAGAGAGACATGAAAATGAGCAAGTGTATAAAGCTAGACTGTTTGAGCCTGCAATCTTACTGACTTATCTGGGAGTAAATCCCACTGAATTCAATGGGACTTCCTTCCATGTAGGTATATTATAGGATTGCACTGACCATCTGCTTTAACACCCCCATTTATATGAACAAGATGTTATAAGTCTTCCTCATTACATGAGAACACATCCTGAACTGTGGGGATAGAATTCCTAAATCCAGGTTTTCACCGTTGCAACACAAACAAGGGCATTTTTAAATTATTCCAAATAGAAAAGGTATTTTTTGGTTACCAATTTATCATATAGTTTCAACCAGTTAAACCCTATTAAAGTTTTCAGGGTACCTATGCATTTAAATTAAATGCTTCCTCTTAGAAAGCTCAGCCCATCATATTGGTTCTTCTTAATCTGTGCTGGAGGAGGAAGAATGAATAAGATCCGTTTTGCCCCTTGAATAACATCTCTACAATTACCCCAATGTCAGTTTCTCTTCTTGCTGGGTGTGTGAGAGAGATTTACGATTATTAATACAGTGGTACCTCGGGTTAAGTACTTAATTCGTTCCGGAGGTCTGTACTTAACCTGAAACTGTTCTTAACCTGAAGCACCACTTTAGCTAATGGGGCCTCCTGCTGCCGCCACGCCGCCGGAGCCCAATTTCTGTTCTCATCCTGAAGCAATGTTCTTAACCTGAAGCACTATTTCTGGGTTAGCAGAGTGTGTAATCTGAAGCGTATGCAACCTGAAGCGTATGTAAGCCGAGGTACCACTGTAGTATAATTTTCATATGTGGCAAAATAATGATTTTTTTAGAAGTGATGTATTCACCCCCATATGCAAAAACTGTAAAGGGCATTCAGGCTGTTTTGGATAGAGAAGCTATTCAAGTGGCATATCAGAAACTATTCACCACTGATCCCCAGAGCATAGACCAGCAAAAAGCAAGAAAACAGACTGAACTTGCTAAGAGTATTTCCATGAGTTTTGGGTATGGAACTTACTTGTGAATAGACATCACATAAGGATCTTGGGCCAGGGGGAAGGGTACCACTGAATAACTTGGTGTGGTATTCAATATCACTTTCTGCAAACTGAGGAAAAACAGTGCCTTGGCACTTTGTGTGGAAGCACCCACAGGGTGGAAAGAGGGGAAGCCAGTTTGAAATGTGATTAATTACCTGGAGCAATTTACGAGGCTCCCACAACCATTCAGAAATATAGCCAAGTATGGAAAAGATACAGCCCTACCTACTATGAAGGAATGGTTGATAAAATTATCGGACTTAGCAGAGATGGCAAAATTAATGTGTTTAATTAGAGAAAAAACATTACTGATATTTATTAAGGATTGGAAACTTCTTGCGGGCTTTTCTGCTTGAATGAGAAAACAAACTTGTAATATCTGGATTAGAAGATTGAAAAAAACATTGGCTCATAGAAAATAGAATAGTTGGATGTTAATGAGTGAATACTATATGCAATGGACAGAGAACCTTTTTATCTTTCCATGTTCTTTTCTTTCTCTCTCTCTTTTTACCTTTTTCTTTCTTTTTTCCTCCACTCACCACTTTTTTCTTCCTTTTGTTCCTGTTCGTTTTTAGATCAGATTTTTAAAGTATTTCTTTTACTCTGTTGTGCAATAGAAAGATACTTTGTATTGGGTAAGACCTTTTGCGTAGCTTTTGATGAGTACCAATTAAAAATATATATTCTACCAAGAAATATAGGAAAGTGTATATCCCCATTCAGTAAACTGAATTAACCTTGTAGCTGCTGAACAGAACTATAGAGGACACTTCTTTGTAATCAAAGGTACCTAACAGAAAGTTGGAATCCTTTCCCACAGGCAGCGGCGTAACTAGCTGCTCGGGTGCCTGGTGCGACTCACTGCATGAAGCCTCTCTGCCATCTCCCCCTCAGCTGTAGGGCAGCGAAGGGAGAGGCGGAGAGCAGATGCAAATCCCACGCTCCTGTTTCAGGCAGCGCAGAGCCTTCAGGCGCCTGCCCAAGCTACCACATCACACACACAACCTCAGTGATGACACCCGGAGCGTCCGCACTGCACACACACACACACACATACACACACACCTTCCTCCAGCAGTGCCCACAGAAGTGGGATAACCCTTTTTCTGCATTCCCTTGGGAGGTAATCTGTTGGAAGCTGCACACCAGCAGAGAGCAGAGCCAGAAACAAAAGTGGGGAGAATTTGAACCAAGGATGTGTGACAGGACAGCACCTCCCCCCTCTTGTTTTCTAGCAGCCCTTTCATTCTCTCTCTCTCTCTGCCATCATCTTTCCATCCATTTCCTCCCTCATTGCCACCCACATAAAATTAGGCCGCAGGATGTATAAAAGCGGGCTATGGGCCTCATTAGTTCCCAAACCACACGTTGCCCACCTGCACTCTACTCTGCCGCAGAGTTGGTAATCCTCTGTTTCAAGGCACGGCTGGCGGCAGCTGCTATCAACACCTGCAAACTGCATGTGGACGAGAGAAGACCTGAAATGAAGCAACAGAGCATGGTAACACTAATAATAAGTTGGCAAGCTAACAGTCTTGCCATCCTCATATTTCCACAAGGCAACAAATATGCAAGGCACACATTTGCCATGTTTCCAGTCGCTACAGCCAGTGGCTTTATCGGATGGACATAGCCCTGCAGAGTGAAAAGGCAACCACCATGGTGGTACTATTGTTACCTGAACCCACTCTGTGTCAGATGAACATGCCTCAGGCATTATTTCCCCAGCTGCTCCTCTGTATGAAGGCAAGCCCTAGCCTGAGTCAATTAGAAGTTAATGAACCATTCTAGACCTATTGAAATTCTATATTGCCTTTCCCAATAGCAATGCATTTGTAGGCTACATTCTGTTAACTTATGTGCCCTGCTCCTTATGTTTACAATACATGGGGAGCAAATGTATTATGGCTTGCAAAAAAATGGTGGTGCCACTCAGGATTGCTGCGCTGCAAAGCACAACTGCAGGTTTTTCTAGGGATGGGGGTGAACTCCCAGTCGCCAAAGGAATTTGTGGCCATTCATTTCCTACACATCCTTAATAATGCATTGATTATCCTACTCTATGCCTTTAACCAGGGACAGCCTACAAAGCAATTTCATCTGCTGCCAAGGTCACACCAAATGTTAATGAAGTAAAAAAGGTTGCCTTTAGCTTTCCTCATTCAAAGAGATAAGGGGTTTAAAAACTTGTGTGTCAGAGGAATTCCTTTATTTTAAGGTTTGTTTTATATGTAAGGCACAAACAATACCCAAGTGGCCATGTTTTATAATTGTGAAGCAGTAAATACCATATGCAGCTATGTGCTCTTTTCTCCATTTTCTTTCTTTTTTTAAACCCAAAGCAAACTCAAGGAACAGGGGAACTGTGACCCTTCAGGCATTCCTGGACTACAACTCCCATCACCCCTGGGTTGGATTTGGGAGCCCACCAACATCTGGAGGGCACAGATTCCCCAACCTTGCTCAAGAGGCTTCAGGTGGCAGGAGAGGAATAGCCACACAGTGGACTTCTTTTACTTTTTCATTCATTTAATGAACAAAACAACAAAAAAGCAATTTGCATTTCAACAGAAGTGGCTCATCAGTGGGGCAAAGCCGCTACACTAGCTTTCCAGCTGTTGGTTTGCTGGAGTGGTGATGCGGTGGAAGCTTGGCATGGTGCAAATGCATCAGCAGGAACACCAGGTTGGCTGCATCAGTGTGTTTGCACTGTGCTGACCTTCCCACCACCTCACCCTCTCATTCTGAGAAAGTAACAGCAATGCACCTGCTGGGAAGCTAGCAGAGTGGCTCTCCCCACCCCTAATCAGCAAGTCTGCCTCTGCATTTCATCTTAAAAATATAAAAGCCCTATGCATTCCAGTTACTGAAAATTGTATCTAGAGGACTTTATAAACCTTTTGCTTCTTGCCGTTTTTCCACTACCCTGGTGTTTTCCAAAAATAGTTAAGCAGTCCCTCCCCTGCTCCAAACTGCAGCCCAGACACAGGTTTTCATTTTTAAAATGATCAGAGGAAGGCTTGATTTGTGTGCCTCCTGTGTGTTGTTCACTCTGACCCTGTAAAGCTATTGCTGCTGGATGACACTGAACTTGTTATGAAACCTGATCACCTGTGAAGGGGACCGGTTATAGAAAGAGCCCCTTTCTCCCTTTACTCAAAAACTATATGAAGAACAGAAGGGGCCCTAAGAATCCTGAAGCTGGCCAACTCTGCCTTGGAGTACATCTATGCAGCAACTTTTAAGAAGATCAGCATCTACCATGTGTCCAACCCCCACTGTCCATATCTGGCCACAACTTCAGCCCCCTCTGGTTCATCTCCTTGCCCATCCACACCACCTGTTACAGGAATGCCCTGTAACAGGTAATAAACATGGAAAGAGTCATGCTTATTGGCTGTCAAAAGGGGGGCAGGGAGGAAGCTCCCAGTTTCATCCCTCTTCCCACACTTCAGTTTAAGACACAAGAGCCAGACTGGGAAAGGTATGCCATGGATGTCCCCTTAGAAACTTGTGGCTGGGAAATTTTTCATTCTCTTGCAAACATCACCACCTCCCCAGCTGATCTGCATTACCTTTGCTGAGGCTTCTCAAGCTGTAAAAGTTACATCTCTGTGGTACGGATGGTGGCGGTCACAGGACTAGTAATAATATACTTTAAGTCAATCACACCTGTGAACAGGTGAAACAAAAGTATATCATGGCTGAAATGTAGATGCAAAACTATCTTCCTGCACAAGTAAGGTGGGAAACTTGTGTCATGGGTGACCAGAAATCACATTTGCACACAAGGAATGAAACCATTGCTAAAAGGTTGTTTTAGTGTCCCTTATGGAAAGGGTGGGGAAAACCACTGAAACCTGATCCTAGCCATGTTTACTCAGAAGTTGGTCCCACTGAGGACTATTAAAGTAGAAGCCAGTGTGCTGAACTACATAATGGAGCAGACTTCAAACTTGTTGCGTCTACTTCCCTTGCCTACAACCCAAGATTCACCAACAAGCTCCAAGTGTAAAAGATACAATATTGTTCTAGTTTGCAAATAACACGAAGCCAGACCATGGCTATCCATGAACGAGTGAGTATTCAGGTAGCCACAGCCAAAGCTCATCTGAATCTGAGCTTGTGGTTTGTCTGGGCCACTATGAGTTGCTGTGGGTCACTCATTCACACTTAGATATGACTTGACCTAACATTATGTGTGAAGTGGGCCAGTGAGAATTCAATAACAGGGTGCTTCTGAACCTTGGTATTTGTTTTCACTTCCAGAAATGAACTGAGGTTGCAGTCCTTTCACACAAAGGATAAACCCTAGATAGCTTTCTTCATTTCAGCAGCCCCACTTAAGTGGAAAAAGTAATTTCGTTGTTACCATTGCTAAACAACTAGGAATCGTGAATCCTTGCAGGTTCGTTGAAAATCACCCAAACTCACCTAGGTAAAAATAAGTCCCAGTAAACTCAATGGGGCTTACCCTTCAACAGACATATACAGGGCTGCACTGTAAATAAACATATAATTACAAAGTCTGCTAATAATGCATGTAGCATACAGCTAGGATGCATAACATACAATTCAAAGAACCCTGCATTTACGCCCAATTAAGAAAAAAGCATGTTAAAATTTATTTGACGAAAAATTACAGTATTTTAAAAAACTGTATTGAAAGGCTGCTTCATTTTTCTACAAAACTTCATCTTCCATATCTCTCTTTTCATCAAGCTTTTCATCCTCCTTTTGGCTAGAAAATGATCAGATAATGTTTTTTCTTCTCTTGACACCATCTTTTCTTTATATCCTTGTTAAAGTGCTCTGCTGAGTTTGCTTCATCCAAGGAAGCATTTTTTGGGTAGCAGCACCAGAGGGGAGGAGGAAAAAATAAAGATACTTCAAGAATCCAACAACACAAGCAGAGGAGAAATTGCATTTGGTTAACAAATGCCAGAAATTGGAAAGAACGAGGGTGTTTGATGTGGCTGTTACTAAGAATCCTACTGTATTGTATATAAAATCCTCATTATTTCTCTCTGTCTCTCTTTCTTTCACCTATTCTGAAGCACGCTGGTTTTCGCTAATGCTGTTTTTTTAACTCGAATGGGTGCACAAAAACATCTTGCAATCATGCTTCTCATAATCCATATTCCAGCGCTGCTCTGCGGATTTTAGAACTCCTGCTGGACTCATTCTGCAATGGCCTGGTTCACACATCACAGTAAACAGGGAAGTGATGCCCTCCAAATGTTGCTTCAAATGTCTGCTCCCATGATCCCTGACCACTAACAAAGCTGGCTGGGGCCAAAGGGAGTCCAACAACAACTGCAGGACACTACATTGGCCACGCCGACATTAAACCACGGTTAGCATAACCTATGGTTTAATCTTGTTACACACCATCCATTGTTACACGCCAATCTCTGAGCAGGAATCCAAGCACTTTCTCAGGGCTTGTGTTTCCTTTTGTAAAGGAGGCAAAGCGGAGACTGTGGCGTGTTTATGATATATGGTTAAGACCACCTGAGCCTACTGTGAAGGGGTTCCCAGCATTACACTCCAAGGGGGTCTCTTGCTTCTCCCATAGACAAAGTGAACTTGGATCCAACAGAGAAATCAGCCATGCTCTCCATCTGTTTCACAGCCTGCCACAGTTTCTTGCCAGTACTTCACTGCCAAGTGCCATCCTAAAACCTCTGGCCTTTTGTCTCTTGCTAGCTACCTCTCTAGATGAAGGAGGGGCTCACATCCCTCTGCCTTTTGGCACAGAATAACTACGTACTTTGTTAATCACCCTGCCTCTTTTTGACTTGGCCATCATTAAGCTTTATACCCCTAACAACTCTCACTCAGCAAGCCATCATCAGGTTGGCCTGGCTTGTATTTCTAACATAAGCTGTTTGGCACATTTTAACTCCCCAAAGCTTGATTAGTTCTCACTTTTATCAGACCCAGGAATTTACAGACTCGTAAGAATATGAATGTCCTTCAGTGTGAGGGTAAGAGGGGCCTCTTAACAATTTTATAGGCTCACAGAATCTATAGTCCAGATAAATAACAGGGACTTATTTTCTATATTTTGAGGGACCAAATAAGGGTGTCCATTATCTCTGGTACTTTTTGTTCTGCCTCTTTTTTTTTATCCCCTCAACATTTTACTTCACAATAATGAATTGATTAACACAGAACTGGAAGAACTTGGGAGAACACCTGCAGCTTGTATTAGAAGACAGAAAATATGGATGGTTGTTTTGATGGAAAGCTGATGAAATGGGTAAAGGCTCTCAGGATGTTAATGACTATATTGAAATATGGCATCCATTTACAACTTTCTCAGATGAAAATAATACAATCTGGCATCCACCACGTGCACATGATTGGTTAAGGAACAATGAACTCCACTGTTGAAACCGTTTTGTCCAACTTAAGCAAGGAGGGGCAATTTGTTACTGCTGGGAAGAGATTTAATTTTGTATTTATTGAAATCCAGTGAAACTTCCTATTTAAAAATCCGACAGTTTAATGTGACATGCACACCAGGTCAATGCGTCCATTCCACATCTCAAATACACTCTAGCAAACCATCTTTACAAGCAAACTTATCTACAAACATTTCTACAAACTCATCTATAAACATGTTTGCTCAGAAGAGACTCCTGATGATTTCCATGGGATCTGCTTTCACCCAACAGAAACTTAAAGTGACCTTCTAATGTAAAAGTTTGCAATGTGTTACTAACTTTCTTCCAATGAAGAGAAGCTGCTTGTTTGAAAGAAATACAGAGCTGTTGAGAAAGGCAGGAGTTAAAGAAGGAAAGACTATGATTTTGATGCTCCAAACAATCTGATCCGTTATTTATGCCATATGGCCTGCTTTTAAAAAAGCATTACTGCTAGCTGACGTTATCCTGGGTTGAAGTAAGTTTGATGCACAAAACACTTCCTTCCCCAGCCTTCAATAATAATGATAATAGCTGTTTAAAAATCCACCCAGCATTCTTGCAGAGCTGGCTGGTACGTTATTAATTGATAACCTCCTCCTATGGGATGTACACGGGGCGGAGCAGGGTAGAGGTTGAACGCAACAAAGCACAACAAGAAAAGCAGAGGGATGTGTAGCAATATGCTTGCCAAACACTTAAATACAGACGACTCCTGAATGCTTTGTTGCTGCAGTTCATAATTCAGTTATTCCGGCCGGAGTTCAACAAATTTCCATAGGGTGACTGCGGAGTCTGTAGCTTGTAGCCGGCAACCTGAGGTTCTTAGTGTCTAATAACCATAGCTGTCAACTTTTCCCTTTTCTTGCGAGGAATCCTATTCGGAATAAGGGAATTTCCCTTAAAAAGGGGGGAAACGTTCACAGCTATGCTAATTACCATCATCCCCATCCCCATTATGACATTCAGAGGCTGCTACCACGGACCCAACACACACGCATCTTCCCGCGTCAGTTTATGTCCTGTCACTCTGAATCCCCGTGCGAAGCAATGCTCAAGGGCTCGCTCATCAATTCGAAACAGAGGAGGACCAGAGAAGAGAACTGCCAGTTTCCAGATGACCCTTTTCTCCCCGTGGAGATCGAGTGGCCAAAGCACGAGCGAAGCTCTCCTTTCGCCTCCCTGGGCAGCTGCACTGGCAGCGCCAGGACCTTTGCTTAGAAAGCAGGAGTGGAGGAGATGGGAGCAGAAGCGTCCAAGTTTTCCAGGCACTCCAGGCAGGGCGGGGACGGGTGCCTCGCCTGGATGGAGGAGGGACGCCAGGAGTTGCCCTCCTCCAAGTACCCAAGGGGGGCTGTTCTTTCCCGCCTGCCTCCCTAGATTGACCAGATACTTTTGTGGGGCTTGGACTTACCGATCTCCCGTGCCTTTGCTTCCCTTCTCGCCCCCCTCGCCGGGGCTTGACTCCTCTCCCCGCCTCAGTTCGACGCTCCGTCTCTGCCGCCCGAAGTTTGCAGCGCCTCTTCCATCTCCGGGACGAGGGAGGCGCCGGCGTGCTCACCTGCTGAAGCTCGCCCGGCCACTGAGCGGCAGCGGGCAGAGGACGCCGAGGGGAAGGAAAGAAGGCAGCGGGGGAGGGAGGGAGGGCACCAGGAGCCCCGCCCACTCGTGCCCAGAGGGGCGGAGCTTCGCTCGGAATCTCTTCGGAACGCCGGCAGGCAGCCGCGCGGGGGAGGCATCCCGACGAGGAAAGGAGCGCCTCTGAACATGTGCAGAGAGCCCCGCAGCTATGCCATGAATAGCGTCGCTGTGGGGCAGGCGTCAGCCCCGGGCGGCGCCTCCCTCTTCGTAACTGAACCGGTTTGTGAAAAAAGGAAGAGAGAGGCGCACTTCGGTCCCGCAGCCCCGCAAGTGTGTCTACTCAGAAGTAAGACCATTGAGTTCAGCGGCGTTTGCGCTCAGTGCCGAAGGGATTGCAGTCCGACGACGAGCCACAGGTTTATTGTCTCGGCTGAAAATTCATGAAAGGGAAGGTGATGGGGATGGGGGGGCGGTTCAGATAGATTCAGATGGTTTATATCATGTCACAGCAAAGTGGGTTTTCTGTGAATCCGAGTGGGTCTCTCGCGGTTAATGTCTAAAAAGACAAGCTCTCCAAATGCTATGGCGACCTAGACAACTTTCCATTTCCCTTTTCATTCAGGACTTCTAGGTGTCAGTGTTGTTGGTTTTTGGATAAAGAAACAGAACTTTATTTGACAATTAGTTCCGATTTAGCACCAGTAGCAGCCTAATCCGGAGAGTGATGCGGGCCTCAGCCACATAATGCTCCTTAGGCGAAAGCTGATCATTCTCATTTATGTTCGCGTTGGGGAGGATGCAGAATCCAGGTCAAGCGTTTACTTCAAACAGGATCAAGTGGGAAAGTTTGCTGTTGTTGCTTGTCCAGGACTGCACCACTTCTAAAAGCCTGGAAAATGTGTGCGTGTCTCTTAGTGCCCAACAACAACAACCTCATGTGCGCCTGGAAAACTAGCATGACAGGAAGATGGCTAGGTTGAACACTGATGCTTTTCTACTTGCAGGAAACCTCTTTTTTTAAAGGGGGGTGTATTCAAATATGCAACTGCAACAGAATCTGCTAAATGTGTGAACTGGTGCTTTATAAGGAAACCAGTAAGTGGGGTCTAATCCGGAGACCCTGCAACGATGGTCTATGAAGGCTGCTATGAATCCATGATGCATCTGTCTTCCAGAGTAGTCCCATTAGGAGGAATGCAACTGATCCACAGTAAGTAGTTTGTGCGTGGCAGCCGAAAGAGTTATTGCAGCTGCTATTGAAGAAAATGAACCGGAAAGCAGCCTTATTTCTGCCTCCCAGACTCTTCTATATTCTTACATTTAAAGATGTTTGGGTTAATATCCCGTGAGACTCCAGAATTCTTCTGTAGTTATATTAGTCCACCACTTGCCAAATCAGTGTTGCTACTTGAACTTTATTCCTCTCCTTCAACTTGCCTGAGGAGTTGGGGGTGGGGGGAAGTAGAGGTATTTACAAAAAGATGTGATAATACAGAATTGCAAAATGACATTTGAAGTCATTCTGGTTCATGAGGACAGACCAATTGCCCTCCTCCACCCCCAATTTTTATTTTTATTTTTTTGCAAGAACAGGTAATTGTTCACACTTCAGCATGACATGGCTTGACTTTACAGCTGAGTGGGGATTTAAAACATGGTCTCTAGTCGCAGGAGCGGCTCACCAGGAACTGCTGCTTACCAGGAAGAGGAGTGAAGTGGTGTTGAGTCTGAGGCTGTATAGACACATTGGTGCATGCACCAGGATGGTTCTGCTGGTATGTCTGCCTGGCCCCAACCTTGCTGTCATCTCATCCTGTTCCTCCCTCTCCTGGTGAGTGGCAGCGACCCCGATTCTGGGAAGCTATGGCTGCTCACCGCCCCACCAAACAAGCCACCCCTGTGCAGTTCAAGTCCACCACTCTAACCACTGCACCACACTGATTCATAATACAAAAAAAATTGCAGCTCCCACAGGCCTAAATTCTAATGGCCTTGTACTAGGGAGGCAAAAATAGTACATTTCCTAATTTCCTCCTAGGTGTAGTTTTCATGCACTCCCTGGCAAACTCCTGGAAATTTAGAGGGACTTCTGAAGAAGCTGTCTGGTGCAACGCCTGATATTTTGAGCAAAGGTGTGGTAAGGAGAGAAGCAGAAGCCCTTGTCCAAGTCCTTACATATTCCTTGTGATTTTATCACAGCAAATGTGGTTCAAAAAAACCAGCCCTTCTTGGTTAATGAGCATTACCTTCTGACATTTCAGAAAGTCTTTGCAGGTGGACTATTTTTGCATTTGAAAATAGCCAGCTGTAAGAGTGTTCAGCTGCCAGAGCCATGTAACTCTCATTCTAAAGGAAATACATTGACGCCCTGTTTGCTGCTGAACTCAATTCAGGGTGCAGGGGCTCACCTTTAAATCCCCAACAGGACAATTCTGTACACTAGAAACTGGTGTAATGCTAAGTTAAGCTGGAGTAAAACACACCACACTCAAACACCAGTCTAGAACCAGCCTGAGCTTGGCAGAGGGAAAACAAGCCTTTAAAATAGTGTTTGCCATCCTTTTTTCCAGCTTAACTTGCACTGAGTTCCCAGGTGACATGAAAGAACTGAATGGGCTTAGGATCCAGTCTTTGTCCCCCTTTTTCCCATCTTGCCCCCACCATGACCCCAGAACGGATCTTTTCAGGTCTTACACCAGCTTAAGATCTTCCAGACTCAGCTCAGCTGGAGATGGGGAGTTAGTAAAAGGCAAAAGATTTATACGATCTTAAGAGAAACCAGAGTTACTTACACTGGTGTAGTCCAGCTGCACCGGGAACCTCCTAGCAGAGCCAAAGATCTAATGGATTCTAACCCTGTTTATCCTGGCTTATCTTCCTGTAGGATTGCTCCCTAAATGATTTGGGGCCAAAATATCTAAAAAATAATATATACCTCCATACATCATGCATTCTTTTTGGCTCCAGCTTATAATCTTTGTACTAGCCCAGCATTCTAGATGTGGGTATGTGGTGCTGATGGAATGATTCTATTCCTCTTCCATTTATTGTACAACTCATTTGTTTGCTTCGTAATGTCTTTGTAATTGTAAATGGCTTTGTTTGCTGTCTTGAAATCCACTATTGCACCAAGAGTATTTGATCATTTGAAAAATAAACAAACAAATTTAAATAAATACAAGTTCTGTATGTAGTATTAATAATATTAATTATTTCTCTTTGGGCACAATTTGCTCATCTGATCCTCCCCTCAAAGTTTTGAGCTAGCCCTGTTTAGAGAACAAATCACAATCCCTTGCTTCTTCAAATGACTTTTGAAAACAAGCATTAGTGAAAGTAAATAATCAGATGAGCTATTATGAGGGTGCCTCCTGTCTAAGTGAAAATAACCTTAGATCATATTACAGCTGCAGCCATGTGGCATATAGTGAAAGCGCAAACTGAATCTGCACTGATCACAGTTGCTACCCTGATAGAAGAGGATCCAAGAACGAAGTCAACACTGCTACTAAGGAGGCTCACTTCACATGATGTACCATTATACATAGGGGAGTGAGAGGGAATGGCAGCTGGCAGTGAGCAGCCACCATTTCCTCAGAATATGCCCTTATGTATGATGCCACAAATCCAGGAGTTTGTCAGCAAAGTGCCCACAGACATATACCCACCAAGGCTTTCTCTCCATTTCCCTCCCCCCCCAAAAAAAGATTAGTCTTGAAAGATATGTTCTGTTGAAGCTAATACTCTTGGTTGTGATATATGGTTGGTTGTGGTGAGTATTTGTGATGCCCACAACAGTTTCTATGGTTTGCAAGTGCGCCCAGAGGCAAGAAAAGGTTGGTGACCATTGTTCTGCATCATGAAGTAGTCCTGTCCCAGAGCAATGGGTGTGGGGTGGAAAAGAGGGTGGCAAGAGGTGTCCGTTGTGATGAATGCCCATCTGGCCTTTTGAGCCGAAAGTTCTCCTCAGATAAGGTTACGCTCAGCTCCAAAAGATGGCTAATCAAGTCCCTTTATAAGCTGAGGCCTGCAAGGACTCTTCCCTCTCTCTCCTCTGTGGTGGGTTTTTTTCCCTTGCTCCCTTTCTTCTCTGATTTCCCCCCAGCTTCCTGTGAGATGAGTGATTATATGCTGTTGCCAAAGGCCACAGAGAAGTAATAATCATTCTGCTAACTGCTGACGGCTTGTTATTGAGCATGATTAAACTGTGGTGACTGGCTTCTATTGCTGCTAGGTTAAAACGCCTGGTAAAAAAATGTGTCTGTAGAAACAGCACCAAGTTTTTGCCAAAAAACAAAATAAAAATGGGTCAGTTACTTGATGCGTCACACCATCACAACTGCCAAGTTGAGCTGGAGGAGGGGAGGGGCACTGGCCCTCATCCTCTTTTCATGTGCAGCAAAGCCACTCCCGACCTAAAGAGGGGGGGTTGCGGGCTCACGCCCCCATCTACAATCTCGCGACTCGGGGATTCCCCTGTCTCATTAATATTCATCGCCCTCAGCGCCAGCCAATCGGCTGGTGCTAGGGGCGGGCTTACCAGGAGCTCTTAAGGTCGGGGCAGCCCTGGCTCGACCCTTTTCTTTCCACCAATGTTGAATGACAGGAGCTGGAAAAGCACAACTGGGTGAACGTACTTTGAAGCCTAGTTTGGATGTGGAACCCTGATAACAAAGGATTGCCCATCACAGGGAGGCTTCTAAGCATGCTTAGTCGAACACACAACTGGAGATGGGCAGGGGCAGGGATGTCCGAGACTGGGGCCGCACATGTGGCCCCTGAGCCCATACTGGCATTCCAGCTAGAGCCATATTCCGATCAGTTCCTTATGTTATTATAGAATTAAATTATGGGATACTGTCACATTTAAGCTTTGAGCATCATCCAGAAGGGGTAGTTCGGGACTGTAACTATCTTCTGGGTGGGATTCAACAGCACTGGGAAATTCAGGTTGTCTAGTTCAAGTGCATATGAGCTCTTCTGCAAAGAAATTGGACCAGG